CCCCCCTCCTCTCCCCCTCCACGACTCCTCCCCCCAGACTCCTCACCCCCCCCTCCTTCCCCCTCAGACTCTCCCCCCTCTCCCCCTCAGACTCTCCCCTCCTCTCTCCCCTCAGACTCTCCCTCCCCCTCTCCCCTCAGACTCTCCCCCCCCCCTCTCTCCCCTCAGACAGAGACCTACACAGACATATAGCAGCATAATTATAATGCTCTTTCTTCAGAATTCAATAACTGGTTTAGTTCCTCAAAACTTAAAATGTTTGAGGCAAATGGCTATATAAAACATACATGTCAGACCTGTTCCAGTTGATTAGACATGTTACTTTGTTCTGACCCGTTGGCAACATTACCTAACACTGATGGATGTGACACCGTGTTTCATTCAGTCTTGGATTACACCTCACTGTGATCATGAAAAACAAATGTCACTGATGAACCTTACCTTTTTTTTAAATTTTATGTTTGCCTCACCTTTTGTTGTGAAACCCTTCTAATGACCCTAACAATCTTAAACGATTACAAACATTCACACCATATTTTTCCCACCTGGTAAATTTCTGGCTATTGTAATGTCTCCCTTGTTCCTCTTCTTCAGTGGACTAAGATCTTTTAACACTGACAGAAAAAAAGCATCAGTTCATTCATGCACTAGAATGTTTCTTCACCAAAAAGGAAACAGGAACTGTCATTGGCACTCCTTCAGCCTCTGAGTACATATACATGCACATAAGGCTTTGTCAGTTTACAAGTATACCACAGAATCACTGATTCACATCTGCTCTCTGAATCTGTTATCTATCACCACCCTCCAGTTCTACAACACATGATCATTGGTCCCAAATTTCTTGATATCCTAGTTACTTCTCATGTTTGAGCTTATCACTCAGTGGTTAATCAGCCATGTAGAACTTTTTCAATTATTACCGCCACATCTGTTGCCCAGAGATAAGGCAGCATGTACGAAGTTGAAAGATTCCAATGGGAGAAATGACTTGAAGTTGGCTCCTATTGGCAATCAGCAGGAAGGCACGCAAGCAACAGAGGGGGGATATCTCCCTCAGTTTGTTGAGTATCAGAGAAACGTCAAAAATCTGGTTGTCTAATAAACAAGCAACACACTGCAACTTTTGTGAGTCACTGCTGGCTTAGCTATCTTCCAGGCAGCAAATGAAGTATTAACACAGATAACAAGAAGCCATATCTGGAAAGATCATAGGGAACGCCTGTTCCATAAGACGTACATTTGCATAATCATCCACGATAAGCTGTTATGAAGATTGAAGATAAATAGCTGTAGTTGGACTCTGAGATAAGATAAAAGTTGAAGTGGATTTCTATCTTAAGAATACTGGTGCAGGCATGCACGCATCCATCAAGATAACACTACTCCTATCGCAACTTCTCAACGTCAGAAACTTAGTAACCTGACAGCGCTTCTACGATAAGGCTGCTTTATCAGTGGAGCTACTTCAAGTCTTGATGAATACACAGCAATAAACTCACTCTAATCTTGTCCCACATAAATGCCACAGAGAGTCCGTATCTTAGTTTGGCAAGTCTTAAGATAATGAGTGGAAATACTCCTAAAAGAGACTAACATAAATTCCAACTATATGCATGCTATACATCATATATCTTCTTCTTTCCATTTCAATAAATTTCCTCACAAGTATCCTTCTAGCTCTCTACATAATCAATTGCAGATACATGTACCTTTCCCATAATTTAGTATTATCAAAATCAACTTTATCAAAAAGCAAACATTGCAACAACAAAAAAAATATATATATATATATATATATATATA